ACCAAAACAACACAGGGCACCTCAACGAAGGGGGTTGGAGGCGAAGAGTTGGGGTGCTGCTGCTGACCCTCGTCACCCAGCATCCCATCCCGAACACAACGGGACACAGCCAGGATCCTCGGTACAGATGAGACATGACCCCGAGTCTCACAAACAACGGGTGGGGGAAAACGGTCCCCCCGGGCAAGAGGACAGCCGAGATGCACAACAACACCCGAAAGCGACATGGAAGGACAAATTGGTAGCCCCAACTGCCGGGGGGAGTGGCCCCTCGACCCCATCATCCTCTATGAACCCGCCACCATCATCGCAGGAAGGGCGCAAGCCACCGCCCCAACTGATCAGAGCACTGTCGGCGCCCGACTGAGCACTTTCGGGTGGTTCTTCCACCCTGGCCCCCATGGCCCCGCTCAAAAGCCATCTCATACAACAATTGTATGTAAAACCGGAAAAAAAATTCCAGGTAAAACAGGGTTATATCTACCCGCACTCAGTCTTCTCACCCAGGCCCGGGCGTTGAGAGATGGGATCTACACACAAAGGGCCGTTCGATTTCGCTTTCAGCCAGTGCACTGGGCGCTTTCGGTCAATGAGAAAATCAAATGGATCACAGAGAAGCTGCAGAGGATAAAGCTGGATCGGCAATTGGTCCATGACCACTTCCTGATTGAGGTGGACAGTCCAGACTGCGTCACAGTCGTGGCCCTCTATCCATCAGAAAAACACCTGCTCTTGAAGAACAACCAACTGCAATGCAGAGGCAAACACGTGCAGCTCTCCGCGTGGTCCCCCGTAGACCCACAATCCTCTGACGAGAAAAGAGAGCTCCTTATGAAAACGAACTTCTGGGTGGAGTTTCGCTTCGCGCCCCTGTGTGTGCAAGGGGCAATCCTGGCACATCTGGAAGACAGCAAGGATCAAGGGATATATCACCGACTTGCCCCCATTTCTGGGAAAACGGGATGATTCGCTTCTGGTGGCTGTAGAATGGGATTTGGAATGCCCCTTCCCCCTGAACGAGGAATGGAGGTACTCAATCAGAGGTAAGGAATTCTCAGTTCCGGTCAGCCACTCTCAAGACCCCTGGTGCTATGCTTGCAAGCAAAGAGGTCATCTGTGTACTTACGATGACTGCCCGAAAAACGACCGCAAAACGAAAATAAAAGGAATGGTCACCCCCCATCCCACGGACGAGGAGAGATGGTACCCGGAGGAGCAAGAACTCCAAGGGTGGGTGTTCAGGGCTTACGCAGATGCCACTCCGGGTCAATGGATATGGCAGGGAAATGGCAAGCCGTCAGTGTCTCCGGCAGGTGCAGAACTGATCATAAATGTTGACCGCAGACAAAAAGGGAAGCAGGAACATCTCCCGGGTTCCGAGAAAGACCATGACCACCGTCTGCGGGGTCTCGCATCTAAAGGAGGGATGGGCAACCCGGAAAACAAAGACGGAGGTAAAAAACAAAACAAGCAGACAGGCTCTAACGACCGCCAAATAATGCCAAGTAAATCAGCAGTGATTCCCCCCCAGCAGATTTATGTGCCCAAACAAACAACGAGGTTTGAGAGGGAATCACAACAGCATGAGGAGGACAGCAACAGTAAAAGTGAAAACTTGCAGCAAGGAGGAAACACCGCGCCGGTCTCAGACCGACAGCAACGGAGCGATGCTATTTCGAAACAGTCTGAGGACAAGCTGGAGTCAACAAGGGAGGCTCAGAAGAACACCCCGACTAACCAGTTGCCCCAGCTTCGCCCATCGCACCAACAACCACGCGCCCGACCACCTCCTACTCTCCCTGTGCCTCCGCAGCCTCCACAGAACGAAAGGAACCCTTCGCAGGCAAACGCGGACAGGGGGGTTGGGCAACCCCCCCCTCCAATACAGATTGAAGTCGGGAGTCTGCACAAATCCGGGAAGGGACAGGGGGGAGACCAACAAAAACAGCACACCACCAAAAAGCCTTGTGCCTTGGAAATTGGGGAGAAGACCCGGCCGAAGAATCTGACCCCGACTCAGCCTACACATTCACAACCACGGGATGCATTGCCCTCTGGACAAGGTGCACACAACGACCCTGCTACACTCGCCCAGGACAACGGGACAGACCTGCCTAGACAAGATATTAGGGTGGAGCCCCAACCGACAATGGCATCCAAGGAAATGGCAACTAAGGAAGAGACTGGTAAAGGATTCAAACCCAAGGGGGTGTGGCTTAAAGCCAATTCTCTTCTAAACAAGCTTAAAGATGATGCCTTCCCCCATAACTCAGAGCCACCACTCCCAGACTGTTGAAGGGCGCAGCTGGATGGCCCCCCCAGTGGAGGGACGGGGGGTCCACACCCGCCCTGCTTATCGTCTGAGCAGCGAAAGGGAGAGCACAGTCGGCTCCCCGGTTCGGATCGCCCTCAGGGGACAATGGTGATCGCACAGGTTACAGGAGAAGCAAAATTCCTGCCTCCCGTACCGGCCCCAGAACTGCCGCACGAGCTCACACGGACTCGAAAACTGGAGCTTGAACATGACGAAATGCTGGGAGCCGCCCTGCAGAAACCTCCACAACAGTCGCGGGAGCACCAACAAGAACACCGGCTGCACGCCCAACCCCAGCACGGCCAGCTGGAACACAGGCAGCGACCTCTCCTACTACAACACCTACCACATGGAGACCGCGGCCGGCAGGACCACAGCCCCACGTTGCAACAGTCCCAACTAACGCTAGAGGTCGGACAAATGGACCGAATCTCACAACACCAACAGTTGGCGCAGCTCTCGCCGGAGCACCATCGGCAAAGGCAACAACAGCTAACGATGCAACACGATCACCAACCTGGGGCCGCGCAACAACAGCAGGAGCGGTTGTTGATCCCACAACAACACCACCATGGCCTACAGCACGACCTTATGCCATCACAGCAGCCTGAAAAACAAGTGGAGCGGATGCAGATGCAGATGCAAATGCCGCAACTGCTGGCGCAACCGCCGCAGGCCCAGCAAGTGTTGTCACTGCAACCCCAGCAGTTGGCACAACAGGAACAAATGTTGCTACAACAACAGCTGGCACATCAACAAAGTGAGCAGCACCTGTTGCCAGAGCTCCAAATGCAACATCAACAACTACAAGTTCTGCCACAACACTTAACGCAACAACAAACCGAGCTTCACCCGCTCTTGCAGCAGCAAATGCAGCAACAACAATTACACGCGGTGTCACAACAATACTGTGCTCCGCCCCAAGAGATGCAGCATCATCCGCAACAACAGCAAATGCAACACCAGGCATGGAACCAGCACCAGCAACAACAACAACACGATGCAGCGATGCAGCAACAACAAAATCGACAAAACCAGCTGGTGTCATCTCAGCAAAGCATACACATGCAGGAGCACGAGCAGGCACAGCAGAGGGGGCAATGCGAGGACCAACTCCATTTCCTCCTGCAAGCACAGCTGGCGCAGTACCACCACCAACAACATCAACAAAGGGTGTTGTACCAACAGCAGATCTTACAGAACCTCCATTTGCAGTGGCAACAACAGCTCTGCTGCCAACAAGAACGCATCTTGCAGCAGCAGCAACAGCAACTACAGCAATTCTGGCATCAGGAGATGGAAGCGCAACAATGCCGCATAATAAACTGCCCCCAGTTCCCTGGGCCTGGTCCCTCGACCCACAGATTGGATGTACAACCAACACAGGACATGGATACCTCGGCCCCAGACGAGCCAGCACACGTAACACAGCAACAGGGTAAGGATTCGGGGCCGGGGGGGCAGGATATTGAAATAACCCAGGTAGTGCTAGCACATGCAACACAGCAACAGGACAAGGACTTGGGGCCGGGGGTGCCGGATATTGAAATGACCCAGGTAGTGCCTCCGGCACCACATGACAGTCCACTCCCCCCTCCACCTCCACTTGCAGACAATGCTGAAGTCAAGCAAAAACTGGCCTTTCTTACTGAGTGGACCCTCACTAAGATATTTTCCATGGCTGACGAGGGTTCACAGAACAAACTTGCCACTGAGTACTGGGCCCAGGCCAAGGAGGTCTTGATGTTCACCCCGCGGGTCTTGACAATAGTCGAAAAGTACAGCGATGTACAGTCCATTGACTGGATGGACGTCGGGGCAGCAATCGTCTTGGTAGTCAATGAATTCCTAGACAAGATCGAGCAATACGTTGAGAGCAGATTTTTGCATAATGGCGACTTGCAAGATAATAACAGGCCACAAACCGAGGAGGACGCATTCTACCACGAAGGATTGGCATGGCCTGGACTGCTCATTCACGAACTCTGTGCCACATTGTACGGCTCGGCGACCGCTGCCCCCCACCAACTGGAAGAAAGGAAAAGCCAGCTCCTTACCTGGATGTCGGCCCAGAACAGCCTGAACCACAGGCAGCACTGCCCCGCCACCCTCACAGAATAGAAGTTTTGAATGATGATGAAGACGACTTGCCATCTGGATCGGAAGACGAGGCGCTTGATAAGCCTCCTCGGGGGCTCTTGCAGGATCGCGTGAAACTACAACTACATGACACCGCCGTGATGCCAACACCGCCCGGGGTGGTCATCTTTCCGCTGAGCCGACAGAGGGAAGGAGGCCAGTGGCTTTTAGGGCTCAGACCCCCCCCGGATCTGCCCCCACACCAACCCCCGGACCCTGATGGCCTCACCGTGGAGGGTTGGAGGGGCAAGCTCTCCACAACAGTCATATTGAAGCGCCTCAAGTATTGGCGCAGGAAAACGTAGCTCCAAGGTATTCGAGGCGCGGTGCTGCCAAAATCGTTATCGTTTCCAGAAGGGATTATTCCAGTCATTGTGCTCATGTCCGCAAACGCCACTTCCCAAGAAGCAAGGACGGCGCACACATGGTTCACCCATCAACAGCTAATGAAACTGCCCGCGGACCGCTTCCGAACCAACTTTACCTGGACACGGACCAGGGTATTGCGGTTCATGCAGATAATGATGGAAGACAGCGTGCTGGAAGAACACAATCAGTTGGATGACCCACCGTTTGTCCTCCCAATAAAGATTGCAGACTGAACGCAGTGAGGGGGTTCCTTAGACTGTCACATTTGTTACATTGAGGTTAATGGATCTCACTACTCACACACTGGATCCTGCCACCACCATGGCGGATGTCTGTCGAGAGGCCACCCACCAATCATCTCTTCTTTCAGGAAGGGCTCAGCGCAGCACAGTTCCGCTCTCTACTCACTCTGCACACTCCTCAGACCACCACCCGCCCACTGCACCCCCCCCGTCGGGGAGGGCACAGCACACCACAGACCCGCCATCTGGTCTCCCTCCACACCCCC